ATAGAATGTTGTAAGTTTTTAAAATAATTTATTTCAAAATAATATGTAATTTTTAAATTTATTTGTTTCAAGAAAAATTGTACACGAAATATTTTATCGTGTATAATTTTAACTTTGCCTACATCATGTAGCCGATCTCGAGCCCGGAAAAAGGAAGAGGGTTGTAAGTTATAATTTTTATTTGATTTGTAATGCAATTTTATAAGTTGTAATTTTTATTTGATTTGTAACTCATATAAATTATGCAATTTTTAAATTATTTTTTTTAAAAAAATGTTAGATTCATAATCTTGTATAATAAAAAAAAATTCGAGACAGTCCGGCTTGGCTCGACCCGGACTGTCTTGACAAGGCTCGAGCCAAGCCTTGTTTTTTCGGCCGAGCAAGCCAAGCCTTGTTTTTTCGGTTAAACTTTTACTCAACTCGGCTCGGGCTCGAAAAAAGTTGGTTTAAAAAAGCTCGAGTTGAACCCGAACCTCGAGTTTCGACTCGATTTGTTGACATTCCTACCTTCCTCTTCCAATTGGATCAAGTTTTGCATAAAAGACTATTCTGTCCTCATATAAGTTGTGTTTTTTGATAAACACATTTTCCCACAAGTATACCCTGAATTTTCAAGTGAAAGCAACGAATAACTTCTCGTCCAGTCTCTTTTTTTGTACCTTACAATCCCAATCCCAATCCCAATCCCAATTCTCAATTAATAAAAGCTATGTAGTTCAATTACGATTGCAACCTCAATTCTGATATTGCATTCCCAGTAAAACTAAATAACATTACTTATGTCTGACCAACCACTTCTCTTGGCTTTTTGTTACTTGAAAACACAATTCATTTTGTATCATTAATGCACACATTTATTGGAATTGGACTGATTGGATGGAACATTATCAAGATGATAAGCTTTGGATTTTGGACCCAATCTACTATTGTTTTTCACGAAATGCCTTAATGAGGACGTGCCAATTATTGGTAAATAGGTCACTCCGCTGAATACACTTTTGAAATGTGTTTTGGATTTGTGTGTATGCATGCTTCGCCAATTAAATGAAATAAATAAATAAAAATCTTCAATTTATGCATAATCTTAATTTATTAATTAATAATAAATCGCAATTCTTAAATTGCTTGTTGCTACAATATTTTTGTATGAATTTATACAAAACACAACCTTTGTTCAGTTTGAATTAAAATATCAAGTCAAATTTACACAATTAACTAAACTATACATTTCATTGGTCTATTGGACTGGTAACTTTTAGACTACAAAATTCATATCTCACTCTTCAATTAGAAGTGTGGACAATTTCATTTGGATGATTTTTTATATATGTTCGAATCGAACTATTTTAAAACGAAAGTTTCCTAAAACAAAGTGTTAACCATTTTTATGCTATTGAAATTATGCTCAACTCTCCTTTATTCCTTGCTCAATTTCTGCAAAACTTACAAGGAGATTCTAGTAAATTGCTCTTACACAAGTCTTGACTTTAAGCACAGCATTTTGATTCCAGCAAAATCTCAAGGTGATTTCGTAAATTTCTTACAAAACATTTGGTCCTAACTCCCAAGGTTATTCTCATTATTTTTCTTTCCTTTCCTGCTCAAATTATCAATGTTGGATAAAGATGGTTGTACATAATTTGGGATTTGAGTGGCTCCCACCCATGTGAGTGGAAGGACACCACCCCAAATTATGTACATATGGCATCATCTCCAATGAATCTTGCTTTTACTTCTACCTATAGGTAAAAAGGAAAAAATTATGCAGGTGAAATAACTCTCTCACATTTTTCTAAGAAAGTTGCTTGTTATGAACTCATGCTCGTGTCTAGTGTAAATTTGTTCTATTACATGATAAATGGATTTTGGGGTCTTGAGCCACAGAGAAGCCTCTCCTAATGCAGTCATTCCAGGTTCAACTGAGCCCAAAAATGACGAGGCAAGTGGATCGGGGAATCTGAAGGAGAAAAGATCTGAACTTGCTGAGAATAGTTGGAGGGTTACCAAAATGCCAAGGCCTTTTCAGGTTGAAATCCCTTCCAAGAAGACAGAAAATTTCATTGCTTTTGGAAGATCTAATATATGGCCATCAGGGGGTGATGACGGTCAGAAAATGCTCTCATTTTCTTCTTCGGAGCCCCATTGCCCGAATGAAAATTATAGCAGAACAAGAGGTATGTTGATAAAAAAATCTTCTCTTTTTTTTTTTTTTTTTTTTTTTTTTTTGGGGGGGTGTGGGGGGGGGGGGGGGGGGGGGGGGGGGGGATTGTTGTTACAATTTTAGCCCTTGTTTGACCCTTATTTCTTAAAACTCGTTTTCAACCACAAATTAATAGGATCCACAGCTTTTATCAACTTTATAACATATTTCTTCAACTTTTATCAAAATTTAAATTTTATCCAAACCAAACAGGGGCATGGTAAGTTGAAAGATGAAGAGCAATATTAGACGAGAGCCATATACTACAGCCTTACACTCGATAGGAAACAGATTTTCTTTCAACATATCTACAGAAAAATAATATGACACCATGCAAAGTATGTAAAACACTAATATTGATCGCCTGAAGCAGATTGTGAAGAATTATAAACCTTCAAATTGATAGCAAACATACATTTCTCCCCAAATTGATATAAACCATGTGAAGCTGATAGTGAACAATAATGGTAGGTATCAAATGAGAGTTTTATAGCCATAAATTTCTCCCCACATTTCTTCTACAAGAAAACAACATGATATTATAAAAAATTTTAAAATCAAATCAGTGACAGCATGGAGCACAAGTTCACAATCTCATAGCCAAAACACTAATATGTATAGCCTTTTTCAGAATATAACAATTTGAAGTTGTTCGTGAACAGTAATAGTAGGTTGCAAGATAGAATGACATTTTAAATGAGAGACGTATGATAGCTAACAGACATTTTTACAAGAAAATAAAAACATCCAAATTATTTAAATCACATCATACAGTTACAACATAGAGCACAAGTTCACAATCTTCATGGTCAAAACACTAATATGGATGTGAAGCTGATTTTGAACAATTGCAGTTAGCCCCGTGTTTTGGGGATAGTTTTGGATTTACGTACAGAAATTATTTTATTTGGAGAGAGATGGTTGAAAATGATTTTGGGAAAGAATGAATGGAGCTCAAACAGGGGCTTAGTTGCAAGATGGAGCAACACTATTAAATGAGACCCTAAAGCACCATCCAACTGGTAGCAAACTCATATTTCTCCCCCAAAACTTCTACAAGAAAACAAGATGAGACCATTAATTTTCGTTCAATTACATTTCATTTTTCTCTTTCCTAATTTCAACCACACAATCTTCCATAAAATAATATTACACTTCTCTTTCAACCACTCATTTTTCAGAAAAATATTATTCCACTCATTAATTTTTCCACGTAATGGGGGCCTGTTGCTAAAACCAACATCCAAGTAAACAAGATCAACTTTAAAAGTAGTCATTTAATTAAAAGAATTGAATAAGAATAAAATCTGTTTTTTCACAACAATGAGGCAATGCCTAAACTAAACTTCCAAGGTAGGATATATATAATTATATATAAATGATGTGCCCATCGAAAAATGTCACACAAAGCATTAACTCATACTCTAAACTTTAATATAGATTACAGAAAATAAATAACTAACCATAATAACAGTGGTGTCAAGCAAATTATAAATTGCAGAAATGCGCTGAAAGTTCAAAGTACTTCGGTGGTGTGGTGTACACAGGAGCCATTAATACCAACACCAGCTTCTCGCATAATGAATTAGTCGCTCTGTCTCTTCTTCATCTTCAATTCTTTTTCTCAAGTTCCATATCCATCTCATTCACTATCAAGACATTGCTGCAGCAATAATTCTTCAACAGAAGACAAAGCTCAAGAGATATTATTGACTATTTTATATTCATTTAATCACGATGTATCACACAGTCTTCCACCGATATTGATTCTCTGCAGCCAATTAAGCTTCAAAGTTTACCATCATCTTCTACTTCCATCATTAACTTTATAACTTCATCCTCCACTTCACGAAAACAAGCCGCACCTTCAAATTATTCAATAATCGAAGTTAGAATTAGAAGTTGATGATCTACCCCGGCCAAAACAAGCAAACCCGATGTATCACACAGTCTTCCACCGATATTGATTCTCTGCAGCCAATTAAGCTTCAAAGTTTACCATCATCTTCTACTTCCATCATTAACTTTATAACTTCATCCTCCACTTCACGAAAACAAGCCGCACCTTCAAATTATTCAATAATCGAAGTTAGAATTAGAAGTTGATGATCTACCCCGGCCAAAACAAGCAAACAAGCTGTGCAGAATCCTCCTGAATCCACCCCTCTCCCGTGACACACTCCCTCTAGAGCCCCATGAAATCCTTCTTGGAACACCATTATTATTAAACCCACCATCCATCTCAGTATATACCACTGGTGACTGCCTCTCCCCATCCCTCCTCCCTCCTGAAAACCGGCCCACAGCAAACCCACCACCAGGCAATCTCCATATCGTCAATCCAACAGCTTCGTCACCATTCCCCACCTCGTTTACTCTTCGATGCACTTCACTTGGGTCACTATTGCTAATACCATAGTTATTACCATCAGTCGGCAACTCATATCTGCAAACTGGACACGAATTCCTTAACGACAGCCACGGTAAGATGCAATCCTGATGGTATAAATGCTTGCAAGGCATTTCTCGAGCCTCACTTCGCAGCTCGAAAGCCTCCTTACAAACTGCACAGTGAGACTCAGTGGCAATATGCTCATCAACTATCTCAATTGTGGGCATCGATTCGATAGCGGCCTTCGAGGCTGGAGGATTAATACTGATTCGCCCGACACCATTAGCCTCAATTTGGGCCAATTGGTCTAGCAATCTGTCAAAACCCGATCCGAGCAAAAACTCAGACATACTAGTAGGCAGCGGCTGCAAACCTATTCCTGCTCCATCGTCGTAATACAGTTCAAATCCTCCAGCCGCCGCTCCACCTCCTCCCTCGTTCGGCCCACGGAGCACGATGACCGGGTTAAAGGGTGACCGGTTACCCCCATTCCTGCGGCTCCTTCTGAGCCTCGAGCTGGATCCGGACCCCAATCCGGGACTTGACTCCGGTGTTTGCGCCATGTACATGGAGGCGGCGGGGAAACGGCGGCGCCGGTCAGGAGTGTCGATTTCTTCCACGAACCCACCATTACAATCGGGGCAAGTGAAGGAATCTTGGGTCCAAACGGTAACGAATCGGTCGCATCTGTAACACCAGTATGGTGAAGAAGCCGACATCTATCAATTTTCTTTTAATATAATGAATCTTTGTAGAAAACAAAATTAAACTTCAGATCTGAAATTATCAACAATTTCGGAAAAAACAGAAATTAAAACTAAACCATCTGGGTCAAAGAGGGGCGGGAGCGGAATCGTTCATGGGAGAAAGGGGCGTTTCGGGATGAAGAAATGATAAGAGGGCAATAATACTGGCGAAGTAAATATTAGCGTGCAATTAAAGCTTAAAAGTAGGAAAGAACTGAGTTGAATACGGTTTATCCCTGGAAATTTGTAAAATACACCTCAAAACAAATTCCATTAATCAATCTGGACAGATAGTTTTCACCTAATTCGATTATAAAATTGGAATGAGGAAATTGCAAAAAAATGTTCACTTTCACGTTCTCATTTGCAAAAATGTCCAAATTTTGTTTAATGTCTATTTTGCAATAATTTAGACCAAAATATCATTGTTAGTAATTTCTAATTCCACGTTAAAGACAATTTCTCACACAATTAAAAATTTTGTTGGTCAATAAAATTTTGATTAAGGCTGGGCAAATCTCCCGAACCGAACCCGAACCGAACTTAATCGAACCGACGGTTTTTGTCAAATTAAATACCCGAACGAGTATCTGAATTGAGAACCGACGGGTACGGTTCGGTTCTCGGTTCTAGACCGAGAACCGAAAAAAGATAATTCAAACAATAACAATAAGTTTTCCCCCCTTTTTTTAACTTCTGAACAGTACGTGAACAGTACCGTGATAGTAAATTTTTTTGGACTCACTAAATAGAAAATTCGACTACGACACTAACGGAACAAAAGGAAGTGGATTTGGACGTCAGATTTGTCCAAAAACAAGATTTGAATTTTATTATTATTATTATTATTACTATTATTATTATTATTATTATTATTATTATTTTGAATTTGTATGGATCTAAGACACAGCAAATGGAGAAAATACAAAGAACACAAAAAAGAGAACATAGAAAAATAAAATCAAAAGACTCAACAAGAAAATAAAATGATATAACCTTTGATTTTGGTGCTATACCAACTGGAACGAACCCGGTTAGCATGATTACTAACGAACTCACAAAAGATTGTTGAATCCCAGGAAAGCCAAGAATTAACCCCGCTTTATGGATTTGAATTCCAAAATGACGAACCAAACAACCCCACAATAATAGTAATATTATGGACCTCTTGATCACACAACCAAAGACTCACACCACAATTTTGAACGCCACAAGGAATCTCCTTGATAAATAAAATTGTTCTAAGAAGAACAAAGATTGGAAAGCAAGAATTACCTCTCAGATTAATTCTTAATAATGTCAAAAGTTATTCTTACAATCAATATGAGAAAGTATTTATACCAACCCTAAAAATATTGTCTTGGATGGAAATTATGCTTCAAATACCGAAAAATAATTATTAGAATAAAATTTTATGGAAACTAGATAAGTTACTAAAAATTGAAAATGCATCCAGAAATTTGTACTATTCAATCGCATAGAACAAATAGTCAGTCTCAGTTTTGTTTTGGTAACAGCCTATGTGGTTGCATAATTATTTTTTTAAAACCTCCTCCTCCTTGTGCGAAATTTCGTGACGATTCCAAATTGTACTCATGGGCAAAAATCTAACACCTTAGCTAAAAGTTATGCTCATTTTAATTCACACTACTCGTTTTCCATATCGTCCACCTTTATCACGTTGATCCAAAGTTCTTCGGCCTTCGACCCCAATATCAAACTTGCTCCATTTTGTGTCCCGAACATGGTGTCATCAATAGTGGCTTTGACGAGAATCCCCATCTCCTCTTTAACTCGTTTCACTCTTGGTCGCGTTATCGAGCCTTCTTTGATAATCAACAGGTCTTGATTCGAACTTGCCTTCGTGACTCCCGCATCTTGGATCACATCATAAAGTTTACCGTGCAGGATTTCAAAAAAGGTTTTTTTTTTGTTTTTTTTTTTTTTTGAAATTTTTTTTGTCTTTTTTTTTTTTTTTTTGTGAAATTTTAGAATTTTTATCTGTGAATATGCTTGGTTTTATAGGATTTCATAATTCATAATTTCATGTGTATGCTTAGTTTGTCTTTTTGATGGTATTCTATAGGATTTGAATTTCTTGACTATGATTTTAGTTTATGCAATAGACACTACAAGTTCAAATTTAGTCCATGTCTACATGTAGGGGCCGTTCGGAAGTGATTTTTCACTCCCAAAAAATTGATTTTTTGACTGTTATTTTACTATTTCAGCCGTAAAGTTTGACTTCTTTTCTCACATGTGGCCCTCACGTTTTTCCTAACGGTCAAAAAATCAATTCTCAAAATCGCTTCCAAACAAGACCGTAATATAGAGGTCAAATATTTGTCTAGCATTGTGGTTGAATTAGTGCGGTCTGACCCGTCTTTCATGTGCATTCACAGTTAGTTTAGTTTCTTGCAAGAATTTTTATATTGAGTAAATCAAATTATTTTAATTTTAATTTTTCTAAACAAATTAGCAATTTCTAAACCCAAATTTTTGGCCCAATAACTTGTTTCATTTCTAATTTTTTTATTTTTGACCCCATTACCCATTTTATTGTTTCATTTCTTAGTCCAACAAGACACAATCCACTAAATAACTCTAAACACCTACACTAAAGTGCATAACGTTATCTCGACTCCCGTAGTCACTCTCGCAGCCTCGCTGACATTTCAAAACCTATACAATCATCAGCCGATACTGTGACCTCTGATTGAAGTTGCGACCTCCGCCGACCGAAACTTTGACCGTAGCGATCATTTGAACAAGGTAGTCTACTAGTCTATGACATTCCAAAACCATTGAATATATCATTAGTTGTATTTATATAATGTTGTTATAAATGTTAAAAAATTTAATTATAGCACAAAACCGAATCGAACCGAACCGAACTGAACCTGAACGGTTCTATAATTATATTTGGACCCGACGATTCTATTTACTAGATACCCGAAAATTTTGGTTCGATTCAGTTCTAAAGAGAACCGAACTGAACTGACCCGCGTCCACCCCTAATTTTGACACATAACTTGTATTACTTATTTCAAAAAGTTCAAATATCAACTCACCCTTATTTGTCATCCTTTAAAAATTTAAATTATTTACTACAGGGTTATTCTTCGTTACACATTCATATAATAAAATATTTTACACATAAACCAATAAAGTTTTTTTATTTTTTAATTATATATTCTCCAAAAAATATTATTCAATCCCAAATATATTCCGTCAAACAGGCCATAACTACTCACTTATCCCAAGGTAAATAAATCATGTATCCATAAAAATGTCCTAACCCACCCACCAATTTTTTCATCTTTTTTATAAGGATTATGCTCCTGTTTGACCTCTATTCTCCTTCTCATTCTTTTTCTCTTTCTTATTTTTAACCATATAATTTTTCATAAAATAATATTACACGTAAATAAAAAAAAATCATTCCTTCTCAACTATACATTTTCCAAAAAAATAATATTCCAACCATTAATTTTTGAAAAGAATAGGGACCAAACGAGGGCATAGTTTCTTGACTTTACAAATGGATTAGTCAATTTGGATTATGGGTTTACCATGAAAGCCGACCCCACCCACATTACCTCGACCGTATAATTTAAGTAAAATTGAAATGTAACATACTCCTATCCATTTATCATTTTTTCTCTCTAACCCTAAAAATACATTTCTCCTCCATTTTTGATTGTTGCTGCTCCAACTGCCCAAATTGCCATTGTGGATTGTCAATAGCCAATTTGCAATTGCGTGTTGCATATTACTCTTTCGATTTCTACCTCAGTTGTCTCTTATCTAGTCAAATTCTCTCAATCCATTTTCTCCATTGTTTTTCTTTTTTCCCTATTTAACTTTACATTATTTCTTCCATTGTTCATATTCAATATTTGTATATTCTTTATGAAATTTTCTTAGTGTTATTTTGTTTTGTGAAATTTTTTAGTCTGTTTTTTTTTTTTTTTGTGAAATTTTAGAATTTTTATCTGTGAATATGCTTGGTTTTATAGGATTTCATAATTCATAATTTCATGTGTATGCTTAGTTTGTCTTTTTGATGGTATTCTATAGGATTTGAATTTCTTGACTATGATTTTAGTTTATGCAATAGACACTACAAGTTCAAATTTAGTCCATGTCTACATGTAGGGGCCGTTCGGAAGTGATTTTTCACTCCCAAAAAATTGATTTTTTGACTGTTATTTTACTATTTCAGCCGTAAAGTTTGACTTCTTTTCTCACATGTGGCCCTCACGTTTTTCCTAACGGTCAAAAAATCAATTCTCAAAATCGCTTCCAAACAAGACCGTAATATAGAGGTCAAATATTTGTCTAGCATTGTGGTTGAATTAGTGCGGTCTGACCCGTCTTTCGTGTGCATTCACAGTTAGTTTAGTTTCTTGCAAGAAAGTTTAGATTTTGTCCATGTTTTGATGTAATATAGAAGTCGAATATTTTTCTGGCATTGCAGTTTAAATAGTACGGCCTGAATCATCTTTCGTGTGCATTCATGGTTAGTTTAGTTTCTTGCAAGTGAAACTTGATTATTTTGTACGTTTCAAGATAAACATTTGAGAAGTGATTAATTTGCATTGAGATGATTTAATCCTATTGTCTTTAGTGATAATGCTTGTATTCTCATTCTTCAACAATTTACTCATGCTTTACAAGCTTGTCCCATGCTATAGATGGTTGACTAGCTGGAGGCATTCGTTAGCTCTACTTAAAAGCCTTTTACTTATGCCTGCCCCGATCTTTCATCCTTTTGAAGCTAACTTGTCCCATTCTACAAAGGTTTGCTAAATTTGGTATGCTCCAACTCCATGCAGGCCTTGATTCTTGAGGTCCAAGATGCTCATTGCATGTACAAAGACACTTTATACACGCACCGATCATAAAGAGGTAAGAAGAATGTCCAATAAGTTGAAAGTATTGTTGAAATAGAACCTTTTATGAATGTTCGGAAAAATACTTACAATGTCATTTTGTGTACTATCCTTAATATTTTTGGTTGATGGAACAGTTTGATGATTGGATGTGAGCTTCAAATTGATACAAATATTTGGTTGTTTAATTATTGGCATGTTATTCAGTTTTGTTATGTTATTACTAGTGAGATTTGATAAATGGTTTCTTTTTATTTTGGTAGTTCTTGTACTGTATGTTTTAACATTGTAGAACTATCGTTCCTTACAAATGAAATGTAAACATTGAGATTAACAAGTATCAAATATGGAGAACT